ATTCTGTCATTTTAAATGATTTTCTTTGTCGTGTTTAATGGCTGTAAACTCAGGCAGAAAGTTTCTGTCCAGTTTTCTAACTAAGGGCTTCTTCAAGAAGCTCACAGCTGTGTGGTGTAATCCACTGTTCAGATGTGGCTTACTGACAGACAGGCGGATTTAAAGCTACCTTAGTCAACGTTTAGACGTTATGTTTGTTAGAGGGGCAGCAGCCCCCCCCCCCCCCCGACCCCCTTTCTACTGGGGTCTAAGAAAACACACAAGGCATGTCAGATTTTAAAATTCCAAACTCTTACCATAGTTTTCACTTGTCATAAATGCTTGGAAAGGGGGGGGGGGGGGAAGGGTGGGGGGGGGGGGGGAGAGAAGATGCAGTGGTGCAGCTGATAAACGCTTGCCTGTGGACCTGAAAGTTGTGGTTCAAATCATTTAACATGGCCATTTGAAAAAATTAAAAATGACCGAAACTTTCAGGCCAACCCATCCTTAAATGAGTACCAGTAAAGTCAGCCAGCATGACGCCGACACAATCACCCATCAAGTACCAAGTAGTCTATAAAATATAGGTCTAGCATACATGCCCAATGTGCCCGAAGGTGTGGAAAGGGGTCCCTTCTTTTACATGAATGCTCCAAAGTATGATTCTCAAACACTGCCACTTTTTACAATTCCAATCTGTAATACAAATCTGGAGGTATCAGATGAATTACTGACCTTCCATCCCATAACAATAACCATATGTCACACCGTTACAATATGTCATGTGCATCACAACTTCCCCAGTGAAAGTAAAATATATGTCAGTTAAAATCATAATTCATACATACTTATGTCGAATAAACAAGAAAAATAAACTGCCAGCCACACGTACATACATAAATCTACACAAATTTAGACTGTCCGCCATTGTATGCATGTTTATGTACAAATTCTAATCATACAGTACTATACTTAAATAAGCTAAATCACAAATATCTGCCCGACAAACTTGCAGCATCAATTGAGAACAAACAAAAAAAGATTTGCTTCCCAAACAGTTTAACAAAACATGATTTCTATCTCACAAACAAGCAGCATCAAGTGGATCAACTAAAACATACATGCAGCACATGAAAACATGATGTCTATCTCAATACATGCCCCAAACAAACAAAATTTCATTTTCTGACAAACATGCAGCAGGAATTGAGAACAATAACAAAGAAAACACGATTTCTACTTTACAAACAAAACATGATTTGTACCTCACAAACATGCAGCATCAATAAAGAACAGTAAAAAACAACACATGGTGTTTATCTCACAAACCAAATATGATTTATCTCACAAACCAAATATGATTTATCTCACAAACATGCAGCACACAAACAATTTACAATCAATGTCTTGGACATGTGAAATGGGTCAGCCTGTACCATGTCTGTGAACATCAAGATGGGACAGCCTGTACCATGTCTGTGAACATCAAGATGGGACAGCCTGTACCATGTTTGTGAACATAAAGATGGGACAGCCTGTACCATGTTTGTGAACATAAAGAGGGAACAGCCTGTACCATGTCTGTGAACATCAAGATGGGACAGCCTGTACCATGTTTGTGAACATCAAGATGGAACATCAAAAGGGGACAGCCTGTACCATGTTTGTGAACATCAAGATGGAACGTCAAAAGGGGACAGCCTGTACCATGTCTGTGAACATCAAGATGGGACAGCCTGTACCATGTCTGTGAACATCAAGATGGAACAGCCTGTACCATGTCTGTGAACATCAAGATGGGACAGCCTGTACCATGTTTGTGAACATAAAGATGGGACAGCCTGTACCATGTCTGTGAACCTGTACCATGTCTGTGAAATCAAGATGGGACAGCCTGTACTATGTCTGTGAACATCAAGATGGGACAGCCTGTACCATGTCTGTGAACATAAAGATGGGACAGCCTGTACCATGTCTGTGAACATAAAGATGGGACAGCCTGTACCATGTCTGTGAACATCAAGATGGGACAGCCTGTACCATGTTTGTGAACATCAAGATGGAACATCAAAAGGGGACAGCCTGTACCATGTTTGTGAACATCAAGATGGAACATCAAAAGGGGACAGCCTGTACCATGTCTGTGAACATCAAGATGGGACAGCCTGTACTATGTCTGTGAACATTAAGACTGGTCAGCCTGTACCATGTCTGTGAACATCAAGATGGGACAGCCTGTACCATGTCTGTGAACATCAAGATGGTACAGCCTGTACCATGTCTGTGAACATAAAGATGGGACAGCCTGTACCATGTCTGTGAACATTAAGATGGGACAGCCTGTACCATGTCTGTGAACATAAAGAGGGGACAGCCTGTACCATGTCTGTGAATATAAAGATGGGACAGCCTGTACCATGTCTGTGAACATAAAGAGGGAACAGCCTGTACCATGTCTGTGAACATAAAGAGGGAACAGCCTGTACCATGTCTGTGAACATAAAGATGGGACAGCCTGTACCATGTCTGTGAACATAAAGAGGGAACAGCCTGTACCATGTCTGTGAACATCAAGATTTAAATGAGACAGATGTTCAGTTTCAGAAACAATGATAACAGAGAGATTTGAGATTTTGTGTGTGGTTCACCACTTACTTCTTATTGTTCACTAGCCGTACACACAGGGGGAGGTGTATTTTGGTGGTATGTTCACTTCTGGACTTGAAAAATTGTTCCTGCATGCACATTCTTTTGAAACATCTGGCTTAATTATAGGCAGACTGTTGGTTCCTTACCTGCCAGGCAGATGCACTCCAGCTTGGAATGAAACACCCCTAATTAGTTGTCTCCAATTAAATGCTTGTCGGGGCAGGGGGAGGTGGGAGGGCACATTGGGTCTTCTCCCTTACCTCAAAATCAGGCCCCCGAACCCACAGAATCCAGTGAGCTGCCAAGCCCATCAACATTTATGACCCCAGTCATAGCACATAATACCCCCGTATGGGTTCCAGGGCCCTGTTTTTAGTGTACACACTTCCCCACCCGGCACCCCCATAACCAATCTTGCTTGTGTGTACGTACAAACTTCACCCATGGTTCTCTCCATCAATCCTATCTGCACACTTCTCACACAGACTCCCTCACAACTGACTCTTTTGTGTATGTGTGTGCACGCGCGCACGTGCATGTATGTGTGTACACACACACTTATCCATACACATATTCCAACAAATCTGTGTGTGTGTGTGTATGCGTCATCTCTCCACTCACACCAAGAGGGTCTGCGCACACACCTCTCTCCACCAACGACTGCAGACAATTCTGTGGAATACATAACCAGTCCTGTCTTCACTCCTTCAGCTCTTAAATCTATGAAATAAATAACACAACTTCCTCTGAGCTGGGGACAGAAACTGTCACTAGGCAACTACCTGTCATGACACTTCCTCTGAGCTTGGGACAGGAACTGTCACTAGGCAACTACAGGAACTGTCACTAGGCAACTACTGAGAACTGTCACTAGGTGACACTCTGAGCTGGAGACAACTACCTGTCATGACACCTCCTCTGAGCTGGAGACAGGAACTGTCACTAGGCAACTACCTGTCATGACACCTCAGACACTTCCTCTGAGCTGGGGACAGGAACTGTCACTAGACAACTACCTGCTATGACACCACCTACAGTTATAATCTAGCATGTGTGACATCAGAGGCAGTACCAGCTATGCAAATATCTGAAATCTTGACCAAATTTAATATCAACAACAGGCAATATAACCAGGGCCAGTTTTCACACTGACCAGGATGACTGACTGATGTGATCTGATCCATACAGAGGTGATAAACAGCAGAGGGCATAGAACACATTCCTGACAGACTGTAAATATAACTTTTCTGTCATTCCCACACTTGATCTCATTAAACTTTGGCCTGGTGTAGTGTATACACTGACATGTGTTAACTCCATAGGCCCTGAGTGCTGTCTATCTACAGTCTGGTCAACGCTGTCAGTCTCAACAATCTACCAGGGATCACTTGCCAGTTGCAGTACCAGTCCTGCACACCCTGATGGTGATCTCCCAGGGATCACTTGCCAGTTGCAGTACCAGTCCTGCACACCCAGATGGTGATCTCCCAGGGATCACTTGCCAGTTGCAGTACCAGTCCTGCACACCCTGATGGTGATCTCCCAGGGATCACTTGCCAGTTGCAGTACCAGTCCTGCACACCCTGATGGTGATCTCCCAGGGATCACTTGCCAGTTGCAGTACCAGTCCTGCACACCCTGATGGTGATCTCCCAGGGATCACTTGCCAGTTGCAGTACCAGTCCTGCACACCCTGATGGTGATCTCCCAGGGATCACTTGCCAGTTGCAGTACCAGTCCTGCACACCCTGATGGTGATCTCCCAGGGATCACTTGCCAGTTGCAGTACCAGTCCTGCACACCCTGATGGTGATCTCCCAGGGATCACTTGCCAGTGCAGTACCAGTGTCCTGCACCCTGATGGTGATCTCCCAGGGATCACTTGCCAGTTGCAGTACCAGTCCTGCACACCCTGATGGTGATCTCCCAGGGATCACTTGCCAGTTGCAGTACCAGTCCTGCACACCCTGATGGTGATCTCCCAGGGATCACTTGCCAGTTGCAGTACCAGTCCTGCACACCCTGATCTGACGAATCATATAATGTCACAATGTAAAGGAGAGCACATAAAAAATAATACAAAGCTGTCGGGATATAAGCTGGGTCAGCCTTCACATTCTATGCAGACACAAAAGAAACCTCTCCTTTATTGTGTGTCCAAACCTTGTCTCACAATAAGACACAATCAATCTTCCATATCATTAGTCTCTAAAGAGTCCAGACATACAGCAATCAAGCAGGGTTGCAAGTATGACAATCCATACATACTCAGGATGATGATGATGGTGGTGGAGGTGAGGCTCAATAAAAACCTTGAGTGTGTCCAGGATTGTGCCGAAACAAACTAACATACACAGTGGCCTAACAGCATCCTATCTGTCGCATATGGTGATGGTCACGTTGATGCCCAGGTTGCCGTGGTCAGCAAACAGCTGGGCGATGTTGGTGTCAAACACAAGGCAATCACTACTGGCTATGGCCGACTGGATCCCATCGTGGATGCTCCGAGGGGCGGCCTCCCAGGTCAGCCTGCGTCGGTGACCATTCAGCTCTAATCTGTAGGCAGAGGACAACAAGAAAATACTGACATCATATATCTGTTGAAAATTACAGATGTGTTAACCCTACAAGATTTGAGGACCTGAAGCTATCCGCCCTCTATACCTGAGCTCCTGGGCATCAACACGAAAAAACCAACATGATATACAAAAATATTTGTTCCAAGCAAACAAGTGGTTAGAATAAGATGAAACTTAGAGACATTGTAGAAAATAGGTTTACCTTTCATCTAGCGCTAATATTCAAATTTTGAGTACAATGCCACCCAGAAAGATCGGCCTTGGTTCACAAAGTGAGCACCCCCTTTTCTTACAATCAATCTAGTTTTAAATCTATAATTTTCAAGAATCTCCTCATCACTCAAGCTCACACTGACTGTATCACTTCAACTAGGAACGTATTCTGATGTATCGGACATACAGTGCTAGACCTATATTCTATGGACAACATCCTGACAAGGGGTCATTCCTATAGGCAGGCGGAGGGTGATATGACTGACCATCACGCTGAAGGCCTTTACTTCACAGGATTCTACCTCGTTCCCATTTAAGGCTGGGTTGAACTGGGAGCAAAACTGTGTTTGAAAAAATACATAAGGAATCGAACCCATGACCAGATCCGCAGATGAGTGTTAAGCCGTTACACCACTGCGGCTCCCCATATTTCAGAGTGGCAACATTTTATCCATTTATTGTGATGAAACATTCATCCACCACTGCGGCTCCCCATGTTTCAGAGTGGCAACATTTTATCCATTTATTGTAATGAAACATTCATCCATCACTGAGGCTCCCCATATTTCAGAGTGGCAACATTTTATCCATTTATTGTGATGAAACATTCATCCACCACTGCGGCTCCCCATGTTTCAGAGTGGCAACATTTTATCCATTTATTGTGATGAAACATTCGTCCATCACTGTGACTCCCCATGTTTCAGAGTGGCAACATTTTATCTATTTATTGTGATGAAACATTCATCCACCACTGCGGCTCCCCATGTTTCAGAGTGGCAACATTTTATCCATTTATTGTGATGAAACATTCGTCCATCACTGCGACTCCCCATGTTTCAGAGTGGCAACATTTTATCCATTTATTGTGATGAAACATTCATCCACCACTGCGACTCCCCATGTTTCAGAGTGGCAACATTTTATCCATTTATTGCGATGAAACATTCGTCCATCACAATTTTCTGGGAAGCCAGTGAGGAAAGAAGCTGGCTGACCAGATCAGATCTCGATCAAGCAAACGAGCTAAAAAAAAAGCCAAGGTCTTCAAACGTCTCCAGCTGTATCAGTAATGAGGCAACCAGAACATTAAAGACAAGCAGTCCAGGAACACGGGATATTATTAAAGATGTTCCCTGTGTGGGTTGGGGGGAGACCCACAGCCTCCCAGCAAGCAGGTCGTAAAAGACGACTAATCATGAAGGCTTCCTTCAAAGTCGAACTGCATTTTCCTAAGAAGTGAGGAACCAACACTCTGCATACAAACAAGCTAGATCTGTAAAATGAATGTGCATAGAAATCTCAAGTTCTAGAATAAGACCAAAGTCCAGAAGTGGACAAACAACCAGAACTTTCTGCTGGAGTGTAGAGGTGGTGAATGTTAAGAGAAGGTCTACCTGTAAATGAAACTCTCGGCTTGTTTGCGGGTGCCTATAAGTTGTACAATGGCATAAAACATCTGAAGGCCGTCAATCTTCTCCTGCTTCTCCAACACCAGCATGAAGTTGTGCCCAAAACAGGACTGCATCATAACCCAGTCCACAGCCCCTGGCAGGTTGATGTCTGTGGCTAGAAAGACAATATCTTCACCTGCAAGACAGACAGACATGTTGACAATGAATGGGAATGACAATAGTACAATGCATTATCATGACGCCCAAGTGAAGGGAGTGAAATTACTCTGATTCTTCAAACATGAGGCTGGGGATATCTGATCTCAACCAGCATTTAAGAATCTTTTGCTAGCCCAAGCTTTCGAGTGTTCCCACTCAACGAGCATTTCAATTTATACTGCTTGCCCTAGCCTTCGGCTGTCAATAGGCATTTCAATTTATACTGCTTGCCCTAGCCTTCGGCTGTCAATAGGCATTTCAATTTATACTGCTTGCCCTAGCCTTCAACTGTCAATAGGCATTTCAATTTATACTGTTTGCCCTAGCCTTCAACGGTCAATAGGCATTTCAATGTATACTGCTTGCCCTAGCCTTCAACTGTCAATAGGCATTTCAATTTATACTGTTTGCCCTAGCCTTCAACGGTCAATAGGCATTTCAATGTATACTGCTTGGCCTAGCCTTCGATGGTTAATAGGCAATTTAAGTTACACTGTTTGCCCTAGCCTTTGTTGGTCAAAAGGCATTTCAATGTATACTGCTTGGCCTAGCCTTTGATGGTTAATAGGCAATTCAAGTTACACTGTTTGCCCTAGCATTCAACTGTCCCCACTCAACAAGCATTTCAGGTTACACTGCTAGTCCTAGCCTTCAAGTGTCCCCAGTCTAAGCAGCAGGTTTGTGTCTCAGTTATTATTAACTGTTAGTTATTCACAGTTCAAACACCATGCAAACGGGTCCCTCTATAACTGCTTATTCCTGTGCTAGCAAAAACCCACAAAGAATGCCTATTTTAAAAAAGAACTACAATCTGAGTCTATCTCTGGTTCTTATTGTTTGGCTTGACCAAGACAGGAGACACTGCTGGATTCTTAACTGTGTGCACAATACACGGGGTCCTTGCAACATACAAAGCCTTCTACGACCTCACAGTGGAGATGCATTTGAGGTGACAGTACAATACATATGCCAACAGCAGGAATCACAATAGTATAATAGCAGAAATTACCGACAGTAGGAGCCACAACAGGACAATACCACACACTGCAGATATACAGAAACTACAACAGCACAGTTCCACTCATGGCAGATATTCAGAAACTACAACAGCACAGTTCCACTCATGGCAGATATACAGAAACTACAACACCACAATATCACACACAGCTGACATACAGGGACCCCAACAGCACCACACATGTAATGACACCAAAAACAAAATCACCACACATGTGATGAAAGCAAGACTAAATCAATTAGTTGTCTCCACAATGAAGGTCAGTTGCAATGGATTTCCATTACTCTCTGTGTTTGGCTCTGATTTTTCTCACTCTAAGACTGTTTTTCATCTACTTCTTGATACTATGCTCCCATTTGTATTCTTGTTTACCTCTTACACATGCTTATTTCCAAATCTTTCTCCCAAAATGGTTTGAAAGTTATTTTTTATGTGACCAATTATGTCACTGTTTTTTCTTTCAACAACTGTCTGTTCATTGTGACTCTAGAAACACTGTGTTTGATTGTTTTGAGTTCCATGAAACACAACCGATTCTTTTGGTCAAGCAAGGGAACTGCACAAATGAAGTGAAGCAGGCAGACTGGTAAAGGAAAACGGCTAAGTGATGGCGAGGGTATTTCTAATGGGCAAGTGATAGAGACCTGTGTGTGGGAGAGGAGGATAAATGTCAAGTGAGAGACAGAGATGGTTAAGGGAGAGACAGAAACAGGACAAACAGTCAAGTGAGACATATAACAGGAGGACAAACAGTCGTGAGACAAAGCAGGAGGACAAATGGTCAGGTGAGCAAAAAGGTTGGAGGAAAAATGGTCAGAGATCTAGTTAAGCGTGGAAGGAAAAGAGAAAGAAGGATCAAGTCAGTGAGACTGTACCCACCTTGTAAAGTTGTGATGCTTTTATGAGACTGCATAAGATGAGGCATGACCTGCTCCAGTGAGCCTTGCCACTTGCAGGAGGCTCCAGGACAGGGACATGTGTACGGTCTGCAAACAGGAGCACACAAATCTTCTTATCCGGACATCTCTGGGCACACCACAAATATAATTTTTTTTTAAATGTCTGACTGCACATTGTCTTGTTATTTGCGTTGATCGTGTTCCAGTGGAAAGTTCTGGTTATTAGTCCACTTGTTGATTTTAGCCTTGTTCCAGACCCTGAGTTTTAAATGCACATCCATTCTACAGATTTGGCTAACAAATATGCAGACTGCTGGTTCCTCATCTCTCAGGCCGATGCATTGCCCCTTCAAAGTAAACCCCTAGTCTACTCTTATGACATGTTTGTCTGAGAGGCAGTAGCCCCCCCCCCCCCCCCCCCCCCCCCCCCCCCCAACAAAACAATAATATTTTATGATCACATATCAAATTTTCAACAATGATAACAGCATTCATCGTACTCTTTTATCTTCATCTTAACCCTGGCACTCCAAAGACTTAATCTGGTCACTAACATTTGGAACATATATGCCTGTCTGTACTGACCTGTTCTTGGAAACTGCAGTTAAATATCCCTAGCTCTATGTGGGTCTGCACAGTGTTGAATATGCCAAGATAGGATTATAAAGTAAAAGGACTTTTTCTACGCCTTTAGGTGTATTGGGTATATAGGGTTAGACCTATATTTTATAGACCAAATGGCACTACGGAGGGGGAGGGGTGATGTGGTCAGCATCATGCCGGCTGCCTTTACTTCCCAGGACTATGCCTGGCACCAACTCAAGGCTGGGTCAACCTGGGAGCCAAGGCAATTTTTTGAAAAAGCCTGCCCTCGTCAGGAACTGAACCTACAACCTTCCAATCCGCAGCCTAGCAAGATATGAATATACTTAAAAAAATATTTTTAAAAGCACACGCACGCGCACATATAGATTCATGATTTATTTTTTAGCCTTCACCGGGTGAAAGGTGTGCAGAACCTACTGTCAATTATCTACAAAACGCCTATTTGTTAAAAAAATGTTTTTAACAACATGAAAATGGTATAAACCTTTAATTGTGTGTCCTTCACAGAATATCGTTTCATTCTTGGGCTTAGAAGTCACCTCTAGAATCACACAGCACTCAACTATGGTTTCATAAGGAGTGACAGAAAGAGTGATCCTTGTCACCTGTGGTGGATGAACACACGCACAGAATGTTTTAGAACCAACCAATCTGTAGGCAGTTTGTGATTTTACATTCAGTAGTCTGGCACTGCTTCCTGGCCCGTAGCTGCTCCATACCAATGTCAAAAGAAATCAATGCAAAACGGTCTGTTGCCAAATTGCCTGCAGCAGGAACTGAACCAGGTATTTCGAACCATGAAGTGTGTTTGCAACACCTAAGCCACCAACACCAACAAAAAAAGGTATATATTATGTTTAAAAAAAAAACAAAAAATGTCAGTACCTATGCTCACACGTGTCCTCATGCTCCGTTTTCTCTGTGTGAAGTAGTGTTGACAAACAGCCGTTGTTTGAGTAACGACATGGGAACAGAACAGAAGCTGCCACCTTCTCCATTGCCAGATTTCGAATGTTTCCTGTAAAACAGATGTGCCAGATGTTACGAAAATATGTTTCTTTTTTTCTTCTTCTTCTTCACATTCACGATCTGTAAACTCTAGAGAAAAGTTCTGGTTGTTCGTCCACTTCTGGATTTTTGTATTGTTCCAGAACTTAATTTTCATGTGTAAATCATTTTACAAACCTGGCTTATTTGTATGCAGACTGTTGGTTCCTTGCCTCTCAGGCAAAGGCACTCCAATTTTGGAGGAAACACACCTAATTAGTCAACTTCTATGATATGTGTTGTTAGGTGACAGTGCCTCCGCCCCCCCCCTCTTTTCCACCAGAATAAAAAAAAAATGGTGCTCCGGAACCCACACAGGAAAGGAAGGTCAAAAAACTTGATTTCAGTTCAATCCATGCAGCTTCATACAGACAAATGCAGTCGATACCCAGTGTCGTGACCCATCGCAAAACAGAAAAAAAGGATCAACCTACTGCAGTCGAAAAGGGAAGAAAGAAAGAAAAGTGAATGAAGAAGAAATAACAATTTGTTCCAGCTGAAACCATCTATAAATAAGTAAATATGTAGTAACACAAACAGAAACTGCTGGAATTAAAAACTGGAACATTAGTGACACACATTATATAGGACGCTGTAAACCAAAAACAGTATTTGTTGGTTGTGGTTATACTCAATAATTTTATGTTTAGTTTGCCATTGCTCTCCGAACAGCTGACACTGATACTACTGTTGAAATAAACAACAAAGTTCTCTGCTGCCCAACTGGCTGATGCTGAATCCAACCTATCATGTCAGAATTATGAGACTATTCATAACCCCCTAAGCAACAGGTGGAAACTGCCATGGCGTAACTATAGGTTCAAATCCAAATACAGTGGACTTTAAAAAAAAAAAAAAAACTTGGTCCTCAGAAGTAAAGGCGGCCACATCACACACAGTGTCGATTGGTCTGTAAAATATAGCTGTGGACCTGTGTGCCCAATATGGCTGAAGGCATTGAAAAGGGTCCTTTGAGCCACTGGTGCTGATCAACTGCACATATAAAGTACCATAATGAAATATTCCTTGAATTACCAACTGACACACCATACAGTGTATATAAAGTACCATAATGAAAGATTCCTTGAATTACCAACTGACACACCATACAGTGTATATAAAGTACCATAATGAAAGATTCCTTGAATTACCAATTGACACACCATACAGTGTATATAAAGTACCATAATGAAAGATTCCTTGAATTACCAACTGACACACCATACAGTGTATATAAAGTACCATAATGAAAGATTCCTTGAATTACCAATTGACACACCATACAGTGTATATAAAGTACCATAATGAAAGATTCCTTGAATTACCAATTGACACACCATACAGTGTATATAAAGTACCACAATGAAAGACTCCTTGATTTACCTACTGACACACCATACAGTGTATATAAAGTACCATAATGAAAGATTCCTTGAATTACCAACTGACACACCATACAGTGTATATAAAGTACCATCATGAAAGATTCCTTGAATTACCAACTGACACACCATACTGTGTATATAAAGTATAATAATGAAAGATTCCTTGAATACCAACGGATACACCATAGAGTGTATATAAAGTACCATAATGAAAGATTCCTTGAATCACCAACTGATACACCATACAGTGTATATAAAGTATAATAATGAAAGATTCCTTGAATTACCAACTGATACACCATACAGTGTATATAAAGTATAATAATGAAAGATTCCTTGAATTACCAACTGACACACCATACAGTGTATATAAAGTACCATAATGAAAGACTCCTTGATTTACCTACTGACACACCATACAGTGTATATAAAGTACCATAATGAAAGACTCCTTGAATTACCAACTGACACACCATACAGTGTATATAAAGTACCATAATGAAAGACTCCTTGAATTACCAACTGACACACCATACAGTGTATATAAAGTACCATAATGAAAGATTCCTTGAATTACCAACTGACACACCATACAGTGTATATAAAGTACCATAATGAAAGACTCCTTGAATTACCAACTGACACACCATACAGTGTATATAAAGTACCATAATGAAAGACTCCTTGATTTACCTACTGACACACCATACAGTGTATATAAAGTACCATAATGAAAGATTCCTTGAATTACCAACTGACACACCATACAGTGTATATAAAGTACCATAATGGAAGATTTTTTGAATTACCAACTGACACACCATACAGTGTATATAAAGTACCATAATGAAAGACTCCTTGATTTACCTACTGACACACCATACAGTGTATATAAAGTACCATAATGAAAGACTCCTTGAATTACCAACTGACACACCATACAGTGTATATAAAGCACCATAATGAAAGATTCCTTGAATTAGAAGCCAAAGTGGTCAAGCCGTTTGTCTGGTGGGTTGCTTTCACGGCTGTACCATTCAGTACTCCAGTAACATTTTTACCGAGATCCCTGGGGATCGTAGCTAAAGCGGCAGGCAGCTAGCTATTCTACTGAGAGACTGTGCCATATGGGATAAAAACCTGTGTGACTTTAACTTTTTTTTAACCATATGTTAAACATAACGTGCCATAATAAGAAAATTCTTGAATTACCACCTGACGCAACATGCTGTAAATCTGAGGTAACAAGTGAGCTGTCCCATAAAGTGCTTCCACACTCTACCTCTTGAATAAAATTTCCTATCTGCAGTTAGTCTTCAGATGTTTGCAGTCTGCTTATCTAGGTTTCAAGATGTCGAGGAATTTTTTTAATGAACTTAGTAACTTATAACTGTTCCCACTTGTCAGAAAAGTGAGCAGGGGATTTGGCCGAAACGCAACATTCAGGGATAAGGCAAGACAGATTTACAATCAGGCTACTGATAGTATTAACAGAACTGGAACTCTTCACTGGCTGCTTAAGATGGGGACGGAGAGCTTAGGGGAATGCCTCAAGTGCTTTGATGTAAGTTTGCAACCGAGTTCCACTCAACTCAAGGAGGCCAGATATCCAAATCAGTATCCCAGGATCACAGGGCTACACCACTCTTTTTTTATTGCCGAAAAAGTCCACACTGTGAATCAAAGTCTGCTCGAGTCAGAGTGAGATGTCATACCTCTATGCCACTCAGCCTTTCCCTTCCTTCCCAAAAAAAACTTAAAACTGATGTAATGCAAGCTAGATGCTGTAAGGGTTCTTTGGGGATGAGTGGACAGTGCAGAGGCACAAACAGACCATCAGGGTCTGATGAGAAACCCACAGGAAAGGCAAAATGGATATCCAATTATACTGTTTTTCCTGTCGTGGTGCTTGCTCTTGAAGGAAGGCATAGAGCGCTTATAGAAATGTCCCAAGTGATGTGATGTCAATTCATAATTTAACATTTAATCCAAAGGACCGAAAGATAAAGACAGGTGCTAGAGGACACATAATAAATGAACATGGTTTAAAATGAAATCAACCACACAGGCTGACGTCAGGACTCACCCAGTGGCCCACGACATGTTGGACACATGTTCAGCTTCTGTCTGCATGACTGACATACAATATGGCCGCTCTGGCACTGCATGATAGGAGGTAGAGCATAATCAAAGCACACAGGACATTCAAAGTAGCTGGCCAGATCTGTGGTTCCACTGTTTGTCCCCGGCCCTGGAAAAAAAGTGTCAAATGTGTTTGCATACTTTTGAATACAACAATTTAGTCAAATGTAACCTTTATGGCATACAACATCCACTGAAATGTAGCCGTTATTACATACAACACCCAGTAAAATGTAACATTAATTGCATACAGCAGTGATTCCCAAATTATTCGCCGCAGCACCCCGGGGAGCATCCACCTCTTCACAGGGAGCGCCGCATGAAATTTTTGAAGATACACAAGTTTTTAAAAATTTTTTTTAATCTCTTAGATACGAATAGCCATACTTTTACTTAGGTTAGGGCACCGTGGACAAATTTTAATTGGAAAAAAGGCGCTGTGACTAAGAAAGGTTTGGGAAACACTGGCATACAGCATTCAGTTGTTCCTGCCATTTCTTGCATGTAAACATTTCTTTGTCTCTTCTGGTTACACTCCTGGTGGACTTGTGGAAACAAAATGCCATGGACCTTGTTGTTTGAAGGGAATAAGAATGAAGGAAGAAATGATTGCAGAAAGGATGAGAGTTGAGCGTCTAAGAAGAAATACACTAAACACAAATGTCGACAACAATAGTCCTGAAGTCCTATGCTATCACTGTGGAAGACTTTTCATAAAGCGGGTGGGTCTTGCTAATCACACTCATCATCACTATGGGCTGGGAGTCTCATGCCTCCTGTCTGGCAAGATGGAAAGGTGCCAATAATCTGATTACACTGATATCATTCCCTAAGCAACACATCTTAAGAAAATATGTATAAGCAATAACAAAAAACATACAAACTGGCAAATAACTCGAGCAAACAAAATGGCATGCTTACAAACAGCTGCTGACAGCTCTGACGTCTGCATAGGTACTGCTGCATTTGGCATTGCCGGAACTTGCAGAGTCCTGCCCTTGGGCCCCGAAGCCGTTGGTCGACTCATGTTGACAGAAGCTATTGGCTGCTGGCTCCACGTCTGCAAGGAGAAGAGAGAAGTATTTTAGACAATCGACCAAAGCCTGCCACCACTAGATGATAGTGATTAATGACCTCTGAAAAGACAGAGGTCCTACTACTGGATTATTATTTCTCAACCAGTCTAGCTCTAAAGCATAAGTGGGCAACCTAGTTTGGTCTGCAGGCCACACTTAAAATTACAAATACAATAAAGAAGACAAATACAACAAACAAAACCAGCATGCACACACACAAAAGAGAAATACAATAAACAAGACGACAAGGGCAAATATGAAGATTGGTACAACAAACAACAAGTTTATAAATGTTTTGTGAATGATGAAAAACACAGAAAAACTTCATTAACACAAATTCCAAGGGATGGAAAATCAGGTTTGCGTTAAAATAATTTGTACCAACCATGGGCAATGAATCATGGATAGTTAGAGATTTAGTGAGCAATTATTTGGATGCTGCAGAGATGTGGGTTTATAGATGAATGATGAGAATACCCTGGACAGACAAAGAATGAAATGGTTTAGTCATCAAGTGAGTTTGCAGCCAGACAAAACTGTATATGAGACTTTTTACAGCAGAAAATGTGTGAGGAAGGCAAGAGAAAGACCCAGAAAGAGACGGGTAAATGGTGTAGCTGAAGCCTGCAAAAAAGATAAACAAATCCACCACCCAAGCCACATGAGAAGCACAAGGCAAATATAGAGAACCATGACACTGGGCTACAACCTGGTTTAAGTGAGACGACAAAAGAAGAAGAAGAAAAAGAAGAAGAAGAAAAAAAGAAGACGACGATGTAATGAGTAACAAACAAAAATGGTTTGAATAAAATGACTCATGAAGAGACTGACTGTCCACATCAGAAGGAGAAAATCTACATTCTTTGGTCATGTCATGAGAAGGAGTAAACTAGTACATTGTGACAGTAGAAAAAAAGGGAGGGGAAGAGAGACAGACGGAGACACAGAGAAGAGGATGGACAGTTTGACACCATGGCATGGAAGATCATCTGTATCAGAGCTGACTGAAAGTACACTCGATATAAGGTCGTGGATAGACATGGCCATCAACGCCACACAATATGTACTACAGAAGATCATCTGAGTCAGAACTGATTGTAAGTAAACAAGATAGAATGTTGTGGACAGACATGACCACCAGCGCCACACAATATGTACTACTGAAGATCATCTGAGTCAGAACTGATTGTAGTAAACAAGATAGAATGTTGTGGACACAGATGACCACCAGTGCCACACATGGCAAGGACTTTAGGAAGAAAAACTAGGGAATTTTAACAATAATACATCACTGCCTACAGCAACATTTTTTTTTCATGTTTTGCTGAGGTGAGTTTGACAGTAACATCTGAACCGAAAAGAAGCACTTCAGAGTTAGTGTTACAGTTACAAATGTTTGGACAAGCAGCAAAAAATAAAAAATTGTTATCAGAAGCACTTCAAAGAGTGTAAATACCAACTCAACAAGAGTGAGTTCGAGTTTAATGTCACAGCAGCGGAGACTGCCAAAAGAGAATCGACCAAACTGAATGATGCAAAAGAATAATTAAAAAAACACGTTTACAGACGCAGTTGAGAAACCACACAGTTATAAGATGGAGAAGACGGCTGGACAACCACTAGACTAGTATCAACAGTTATAAAACAGAGAAGATGGCTGGACAACCACTAGTATCAACAGTTATAAGACAGAGAAGATGGCTGGACAACCACTAGTATCAACAGTTATAAGACAGAGAAGATGGCTGGACAACCACTAGTATCAACAGTTATAAGACAGAAGATGGCTGGACAACCACTAGTATCAACAGTTATAAGACAGAGAAGATGGCTGGACAACCACTAGTATCAACAGTTATAAGACAGAGAAGATGGCTGGACAACCACTAGTATCAACAGTTATAAGACAGAAGATGGCTGGACAACCACTAGTATCAACAGTTATAAGACAGAGAAGATGGCTGGACAACCACTAGTATCAACAGTTATAAGACAGAGAAGATGGCTGGACAACCACTAGTATCAACAGTTATAAGATAGAGAAGATGGCTGGACAACCACTAGTATCAACAGTTATAGGGACTGAGCCTCGAGAGGCAGGGGGTACGAAGTGTTGGTGTTGTGGGTACCACCCCCCCCCCCCCCCCTTACTTCACCCTAGGTCTATTGAATATCTGTTCACGAAAGGAGCGTCTATTGTGGTGTCAGCCTCTTGACTTAGCAAAACCTCTCTTACCTCAAGACCATTGTGCGTGGCGAAGAGTCACAACCTCCCCGAGGTAGTCCTGGTAACTGGGGGTGCGAATCCCCAGGCAAAACACAATGGATCTAGAGGAGCAAACCTCGATAATAAACCCGGTGCACCACACCGTACTGCCCCCTGTGGGAGGGAAGGAGCCAGAGGTGTGCTGAACAGTCTTAGTAATGGAAACCAGTATGCTACCCCCCCCTGAATACCGGAAACTATCGTGAAGGCACAGGGACTCAGGACGTGACGATCCAGTTGCCCCAACTACTCATGCTTAGGCCATGCTTAGAGCCATGAAGAGCTCAGCGAAACTTGCAGGCAATCTGGTGGCGGGGAATGAGCACACTGTGAGCCCCACCTTAGCTACGTGTTAAAGGGGAAGGCAGAAACACAACCCATATTTCCTTTAGAACTGGTACAGGGCATTTCTAGCTGCTGCCCGGGGAGGTAGGTAATCCACAGACACCCCAGCACCACAATGCCATGAATATGTCAAAATTTAAAAATACATACGAGATCGGTCGTCGCCTCGTTTATCAAGGCCCGCGCCAGACAGTGGGAAACCAGGCTGTCATGTGCGAAAAATTGGCTACTGGAAAATTTTTAGATAAATCGGAAAATCAGACACCCTAGGAGGAGGAAGAGTGGGAGGGAGAGCAAAAAGAACTCAGACCGCACAGCAAAAAATACACAGATGCTCAATATTATGCAGCTGAACATCTGTGGAATAGGAAATAAGAAACTTGAACTTGCCAAACTGCTAAACAACCACAGGGTACACGTGGCTGCCCTACAAGAAACCATGCATAAAGACTCTGATCTGCATTTCACTGGATATACTAGTTTTGCCTGTAAGTGCAATGACTGCCGGGGCATAGTGACCTATATCAGAAATGACACACAAGGAGATGTAACAATGCTGTTGACATCTCACCCTACAGATGTGCAAAAAATAACTATCTGGCACAATGGAAGCAAATATACGATATACAACATGTACAGCCCACCTCAGACAACATGCAACATACCAGAACTATACAAGACACAGTACCATAAAACCCTTCTTGTTGGTGACTTCAACGGACACTCGCCACGTTGGGGTTACCCTGACTACAATAGCACAGGGAAATACATCAAAGATACTTGTGAAACAACTAACCTATTAGTGCTGCAGGACACAGAGTCTACACCTACACTGTTACAAAGGGCCCACCTATCTCTCAGCCGACCAGACCTGACCATCTGCTTATCCGACTTAGCAGACGCAAGCTATCCCCAAGTCCTGGATGACATAGGAAGTGACCACAAACCTATACTCACAACTGTAAGCACCACCGCTAAATTACGCTTCAAGCAGAGAACCTGTTGGAATTTCCGAAAAGCAAACTGGAAACTCTTTCAGGAAACATCTGACTACCTCCTGGGAAGAATTTACAACAGCTGTGTGGAAACTTTTTGTGAAGATATAACAGAAGCAATCCTGAATGCAGCGTCGAAAGCCATCCCAAGGGGCAGCCAGAAGGCATATAAACTAGGGCTGTACCGAATAGTGATTTTCACTATTCGGCCGAATACGAATAGTGTATCATCATCATTAGGTGACTTGCCGACTTGCGTGTGCGATCATGCTTTTCCACAATCTGCGATCTCCTGCAGCATGTATTAGTTCGTGTGCTGACGCACCTCCATGCCTTGCAACAAGACTATCAAGAATCTTCTATCGTTGTCTTCCTCAGATCTTTCCAGTGGTCACCAAATGTTCCATTTTCGCTCTTCTCATAACATGGCTAAAAAATAATGTCTATCTCCTTCTGATGTCTGTGATTAGTTGTCTTCGGGCTGCCACCTCTTTCAAAACCTTCGTTCGCTCGGCCGTTCGTTCCATGTAATTTAAACGCACCTTCATATTCTCGTTAGCAACATCTTCAACTTTGATTTGGGCGAAGACACCCTGAAAAAAAATGCATGTTCTCTCTCTTTCTCCCTCTCTCTCTCTCACACAAACAGACACACACACACTGCGGTTGGCATTTTATGCAGTTTCCCCCGCTACGACAGACTAGGGCAACAAAAACTATTGTGAGAGAGTTATTTCAGTCCATCACAGTGTATGCAGAAACGGGAGTAGGGTAAACACTATTTGTATTCGGCCGAATACCGAATAGTTATTAGGTCCACTATTCGGTCCAGAAGCGAATACGAAGCGAATATTCGGTACAGCCCTAATATAAACCTTTTTTGGAATAAAGAAATTCAAAATACTATATCTGAAAGGAATAAAGCAAGAATATTGCTCGAAACTGCACGTTCAACAGAAGCAAAGATCCAATACAATAAAGCATGTGCCAGAGTAAAGCTTGTAGTTAATAAGGCTAAAAGAGATAAATGGACAGAAACTTGCTCCAACTTAGACCTTAGACAGAATGGAAATAAAGCATGGACTTTAGTTAAAAACCTCTCCGGAGAAAGTAGAAGGGTAAACCCAAAACCAGTGACAGATGGGAGTAAGACAATCACTGAAGACAAGAAGAAAGCAGAACATTTCAATCATTATTTTGCCTCAGTTAACAGAGCAGGTAAGCTGTAAGAGCTCAATAGAACACAGCTCTCTCAGTTGAAGAAACAAGAAAGAGTTCCAACAGCCAGCGACTCCCTTTTTGAAAATGAATTTAGCATGGATGAATTAGAGCAAGCCCTGAAGAA